GATGAAGGGTCTAGGCCCGAAACGTCAGCCTCTCTGCTCCTATGATGCTGCTTGGCCTGCTGTGTTCATCCAGCCTTGCACCTTGTTGTCTCGGATTCTCCAGCATCTGCAGTTCCTACTATCTCTGATATAATTAAGGTTTCCAGGTTATTAACAGGGAAAGACATGGTAGATAAAATATTTCCACTGGTTGAAAATTCTAGAACCGGGGGCACAGTCCAAGAATTAGGGCCAGGCCATTCAGAAAAAATGTCAGAAAGCACTTCTATATGCAAAGAGTAATGGAGATTTGGAACTCTCTTCCTCAAATAGTGGTCAATGCTAATTCAACTGTTAAATTTAAATCTGAGATAGACAAATTCTTATTAAACAAGGGTATCAAGGACATGGGCCCAAGGCACCATGTGGAGTTAGGCCACAGATTAGCCATGATCTTATTGAATGGTAGAGTTGGGTTGAGGTGCTGGATGGCATATTCTTATTCCTATGTTCCATGAAATAAATAGACAGGGATTAGTAGTTTAGTGCACAACAAGTAGATAGAAATCTCTTGACGCCTGGTAACGAGTCCAAGAATGCAGAAGAACCTAGGAATCAGTTTGTGTGAATTCACAACAAAAGTTGGAAACAGGACTAACATTCTATAGTTAAGAAATCCTGAAAGACTTCTGGAAACTGAGTTTAGGGAACACTCATTTGCTCTGAATTTCAAGTATAGTGAGTTTAGTTTTAGAGATGAATATAGCACCATATTATTTTTGATTATTTGTAGTTATCTCTCTGCCCTAATTAATTGGTTCATAGGTCATCCCTTCACTTGTTATTCAACTGTTGATGCTTTACTCACACCGTTTGACACCTTTGCTCACATGCAAAGACTTGTTATTCTGCCTGTGGACATTCTACTCACACTATTTGTACTTATCTGTTGACACTCTTAATTACCTGGAATTATCTTGCCATTATCTCTCCACCAACATATTATGTTCCTGTGCGCTTCCCTCTACTTCACCTGCCCACAGAGCAGTGCTGTGAAAGCTTGTGATTTTAAATAAACCTGTTGGACTATAACCTAGTGTTGTGTGACTTCTGACTCAAGGTGAGATGCCAGTTGAAAAAGCATCTAACAAATGCACAAAAGTTTAGTAAAAGGAAACTGGTTGCAATTGTGCCAACCTGAACAAAAAGCCTTGGTGTGTTGACAATGACAAATCTTCACTGAAGTCTTGATGTCTATAAAGACATTGCTGGGATAAAAGGAATAGAGGGCTTGAAATCCTTCCAACATTTTGCACAGAGTATTATAGTTCATTTTCTTTTCCTATTTTAACGATAGTTTATTCTGGCAAGTACACTGGAAACCTTGTGAGAACATGTTCAATAATTGACCTCCATAATTTAAAAAAAAGTTAGGTTCTTTCAAACAAGGTTTTTCTCCAGGATTTATTTGTCCAGTATAGATGAATTTAAAAATTGGATAGGTGTCAATGAATAAACTTGCCTTAGTATCTAAAATTTGGCCGTACATTTCACTGTTGTTGATAGGTTTATTTAAATATGAAAGAAATAGTTTTCTGTGCCATAGGAAAATCCTACAATGAACATGACTTACATATTATTCTTGATAATTTTCATTTACCTCATAGACCTAAGAACCTCAATGTATATGCTCAATGAAACTATCATTGAGGTAAGGATAAACTGTCAGAAGGGTGCATAACCAGATGACAAAGTTAAAGTGATTGGCAAAAAGTTGAGGTAACTTGCACAAAATTATTATTGTGCAGCAAGTTATGATCTGGAATTAATTGCCTGAAAGGGTGGTGTACAGTCATTTTCATAGGGCAATGAGGAAAAAAAATCAGTGAAGTTGAACTGGGATAGTAGGAACTGCTAATGCTGGAGAATCTGAGTCTAGAATCTGAGATTCTAGACCAGAGGTCTAGACCCAAAATGTCAGCTTTCCTGCTCCTCTGATGCTGCTTGGCCTGCTGTGTCCATCCAGCTCTACATCTTGTTACCTGTGAAGTTGAACTGATTGGAGGAGAGATAGGCCTCTCTTGCTCAGTATCATACTTGAAATGATAAAACTGAATTATAAAAAAATCCAAATTTTATCTTAGAACAAACTGGAGTATGGACTTAGAACCTTCAATAGCTGGATATTCAACCATTGAGTAACCTGTATGGCTTCTGTTCTGAATATTATAAATTTTGGGCTGTATGTCTCCTTTGGACTTTCCGAATTAAAAATAAGCAATACAATAGATATTTACAAGAGTGAATAGATAACACAATGTTTATTTCCTAAAGTTTACATATACAAATCACTGATAAAGAAAATCAGCTTGAAAGTGTCTTCAGACAGGAATTGCTCCATGCCCATCCTACACACAACCAGAAGTGTACATTTTGTTTACTGCAAATGAATAGTCTTTGATGTCATCTTTTCATAATACCAACCCATCGAAGCTATACTGAACATGTGACCAAGTAGACAACAACTTGGTTTGAACTCTCCTCCAAATATTGACATCCTTATGATTTTGGGGGTCAGCCTAATTAGTATGGCCAGGTCCTGTGCAAGCTCAAAACTTTCTGCATGTTACCAAGTGAGTAACCCTGATAAAGGTCCCCCATTTAATTTTATAAATTGTGGGAGCCACTTCAGTAGAATAAAATCCCAACAATGTCTGTGTGACTTTTCATCCAAGGTTTCCTCAAAATGTTTTCACTAAGGCTTCAACTATCAAAATACTGAAATACGTTTTGACATCAGTATATCTATAGGGTATGATTAGACTTAAAATGTCTCTAGCAATGGCAAGTGCAATATTGCTGAAGTTTAGTGCACTCAAATTGGAAAGGCATTTAGCTGAAGATAAAGCTGGAAAAAAGATCCAAATCAAAATCCACAAGTGGATGAAGAAATTACATATTACATTGGATATATGGCATTGAAACAGGCCATTCGGTCGAACACGTCTATGCTGACATTTATCCCACTGGAGTCTCATCTTTCTCCACCTCACAATTATTGCAATTTCCTTTTTCATCATATGCTTACCAAGCTTCTCAATAAATGCATTTTTTCTATTTCCTTTAACCAGTAGTGTTAACCCACTTACGGTAAAATGTTTCTTCTGAAATTCCTGTTAATTTTTTGAGATTATCTTGTACGAATTCTCATAGAATCCCTAGTGTGGAAGCAAGCTATTCGGCCTATCAAGTCCACAATGTCCCCTGAAGAGCAGTCCACCCAGATCCACCTCTCTACCCTATCCCTGCAGCTGTGCATTTCCCATGGTTAATCCATCTAGTCTGCACATCCCTATGAGCAATTTAGCATGCCCAATCCACCTCACCTGCACTTCTTTGGACTGTGTCAGAAATCACATGACACCACATTATAGTCCAACAGGTTTATTTGAAATCACAAGCTTTGAGTGCTGGTCCTTTGTCAGGTGACCTAATCGGCACCTCCATATCTTTGGACTGTGGGAGGAAACCACAGCACCCAGAGGAAACCCCCATAGACATGGGGAGAATGTGCAAACTCCACGTAGACAGTCAGCCGAGGGTGGAATTGAACCCCGGTGTTCTGAGGCAGCAGTACTAACCACTGAGCCACTATTATCAAAACCTTTCATCATTCATAACATCTTCATTAGACCACTCTTGCACCTTTTTAAAACAGAAAGAGACCAGCCTGACATTATTTTCATATATATAACTATGTATTTCTAGAATCAGCCTTTAAAACCTTCTCTACACCTTCTCCAATGTGTTACACCTCTTTTCTAAAATGGTGACCGGAACTGCACACAGCATTCTTAAGTGTGATCCAACCAGGGCTGGATGCACGTTTAGCAGATCTTCCCTATTTTTCCATTTTATCCATCTCTGAATAAAGCCTGGCACTTGGCTTAATCCTGTTATGGCCTTCCTAATCTATGGTGTAATTTTTACCAGTTGGTATATTTGCAGTCCGGGACCCCTTTAATGTCTACGAGTACCCCCTTAGATTTGCAGCTTTGAAGATATAAGTGACCTACCTACTTTTTCTATTGCTTGCACTAGAATGGATGTTTTGGATAGTAATAGAGAGGATGTATTAAAAGTACAAAGTTGCGCAATTGGAATGCATGCTAGGTTGCTGAAAGAAACAAAGGTAGGAGTGGCAGAAACATTGGTCACAATCTTTCAATTGCCATTGGATACACAAGTAGTGTCAGCCGAGTAGAAGGTTACTAATATTACACAACTATGAAAACGGGGGAAAGAGGGATAAACCAGGAAACTAGAATCCAATCACTAACATCTGTAATGGGGAAGTTACTGGAAACTATTAGCATGGATAAAACAAATTTTTAATGAGTCAAAGAGGGTCAGCACAGATTTCCTAACGTTAAATTAAGTTGAATTCCTTTAGTTATGGTTGAATTCTTTGATCAAGTAACAAAAACATTTAAGGTGAACAGTTTCATATGGTTAAAAAAGTATATGGGTTAATTTATGAAGATATGGAAAATAAATGCAAAGAAATCATGCTCATACTTTATAAACGACTGGCATAGTATCACACTGTGTGCTGTAGTATTACAGCACTGTGAAGAATTACTAGACAATTTAGAAAGGGTGCAGAGGACATTTACAAGGACATTACAAAGGATAAAGGATTTTGGTTATATTCAGAGATTGGAAGAGTTAAGACTATACTCCTTGCAACAACTTTCTTCCCCCACTCAAGAATTATCAGGATCTGTAATTCTACCTGAAAGAGGGTGGAAGCTGACAGTATTAATAATTTTAAAAAGGAGTTGACATGCATTTGAGGCTGAGGAACTCACAAAATTACATACAAAAAGCAGGAATTTGAGATTAAGCAGGATTGTTCTTCCAGAGTATCAGCAGAGGCATTATAGGTTGAATGCCCCCCTTTTGTACTAATTCTATGTTCAGTACTGCAAAGCAGCAATTTCTAATTTGAAACGAAGAAAAATTGATACAGAAAACCTGAAATAAAAACAAAATATTGGGAATAGGCTAAACCTGGCCCATATTTTGTTTCCTTTTACAGTTTTGTTTCTCTCTCGTGATTCACATTTTCACTAGACAGATTTTGCTTCTTTGCCTGATCCTTTGGTTTTGCAATGCCAACTCTTTGATAATTCAATCTCCTTCATCTTGCACGTTATCACAGACTTTCCCTTTTTCCCCATTCTGTCCTGTTTTACATGCTTAAAAATTGTTACATTTCTAACTTTTCCCAGCCCTAAAGAACAATCATTGACTTGAAATGTTAACTGTTTCTCTCTACACAATGCTGCTAGACCTGCTGAGTATTTCCAGTATTTTCTATTTTGACATCTATTCTGAGCTTGTAAACAAGGCGATGCCAATGGAAATGCCAAAGACACTGGAATAACAGCCCTTCTTCAGTTCCACACATGCATAAAACTCCAGCCATCACGAAGAAGCTAATCAGAAATTGCTGGTAAAACTCAGCAGATCTAGCAGCATCTGTGGGGACAAAACAGAGTTTGAGTTTTGGTAAAGAGTTAATCTCTTAGACCTGGGGCAAATTCAATGTATCATAGAAGAAACACCACCTTTCAAATATTCATTACTGAATGTTTTTTCAGCTTTGACTACTTGGGTAAAATAGGAAGGGAGACAATTAAACTGTCCTCAATTTTATTAGAAACCTGGCAAAATGTGACGGTGTGGGAAAGAAGTGGTGATGCCACTGGCTTAGCAATCCAGAGGTCTTGGCTATCACTCTGCAAGCAAGGGTTCACAGCCCACCATGGCAGCTGGTGGAATTTAAATTTATAAAATCTGAAATTGAAAACTTGTCTCGATAACAGTGACCATGAAACTATTCATTGTTGAATGGTTCACTAAAGTCCTTTTAGGGATCCTTACTAGGTCTGCTCGACCTATGATTTCAGACCAGGAATATGGTTGACTGTCAAATGCCCTCCAAAATGGTCTAGCAAGTTCAATGGTAATTAGGGATGGGTAAAAAAATGCTTGCTTTTCCAGCAACGTCCTCAACTCATGAAAGAATGATTTAAGAATTGTGAGAGATATACTGAACAGCACAGAAAATGGCTTTCTAAACTTGCTTTATTCCAAGGGAGAACATTTTTGAGTTTTGTAAAGCATTTTTTAGTCATTAGCGGCTCTTGATCTGGTGTTGAGGTCAGCTTATCACACAGGAAGCATTCTATGCTGCCTTAAGTGCAATTTTTCCTATTGCATATTGGTACCAGGATGTGAGGTCAATCTGCTGACATTTCTTTATAAAGATTCTGCCAAGACTAACTAACATTTCCATCATTTTCCTATGTCCCTTCCTGCATTTCTCAACAGTACTCCTGAAAACTGAAAAAAAAAAACAATTTGAAGAATATGACATTGACAGACTTGGGAAGGAGATTGGGGATCCATATCTCTAGCTGGTTTGCCAGTATAAACAGATAAAAGCTGTTGTATGAAAACCAAATGTTCAAAACAAAGACACTGAATTCCTTGAGCCTGCATGAGACGGTCCAGAAGCACAATCCCACCTGGACAGAAAGTGTGGCAGGACGTGGTGATGCCAGGTCGCTGCTGAAGCTCTTACAGCAAAATGTCTACCTACCCCTGAATGTCTTTGCAATGAAAAAAATCTGTATACTAAGTTATCAATTTTTCTGGATTTCTGGCAGCTCTCACCTCCTGAACTCCAAGTGCATTAAACTCTATACTATGGAGCAACAAACTGGGGCCTATTACAGTGTTTTTGATTTGGACAATGCCTTGGAAGACATCAGAAAATCTCAGGATTTTTAACTGAAACTCTGATGCAATGGTCTGATTCTACACTTGATAAAATTCTTAAATTGGTCCCACAGGTTTTGCTCTGAAATGTCTCTTTGAAAGCAAGTTCCAAAAAGGTGTGGATAAGGATACGGACACCTAATAAATATATTCAAAACTATCTTAACCAACAAACTGTAGTGCATCAGCACCTCCTTCAAGTGGCACACCGCAACACCCATTCCCTTAAGGTTAAAGAATGGATAGGAGATTGAGGTGATTAAAGGACTAAAGTTTTTATCCAAAATTTTTTATGTTGTGTGTAACGAGTAGGGGAAAAAGGGAACAGGACAAGATCTCAGGTACTATGGCTACACTGGTGATGTAACAGATGGAGGAGTTTTACAACTTTTCCTGCATCTTGTATATTTGAATGGAGTCTCTCCTGCATGGACATTCTGATGGCTCAATACATCATGCACATGATTTGTGTGTACACTTGAAGCCCTTCTCACACCCGGTATGTTTGTGCGGTCCTCTTCTTTGAATGCAACCTGTTGCTGGATAAGATTGGATGAGTTCTTGAAAACCTTTCCACATCCAACACAGTGATAAGGGCTGTCACTTGTATTGGTGTGATGTGTCACCAGAATACTGGAGCCCTTGAACCTCTTTTCACAAGCAGAGCATAAATATGGCTTCTCTTCTGTGTGCGTATGATCATGCTTCACGTGGGACGATTGCTGGTTGAACTCCTGCCTGCGTGTGGATACCTGATATGGCTTCTTGACCATATGTATACGCTTGTGGATCATTAGGTTGTGAGACTGACGGAACGTTTTGTTGCAGAAGGTACATTTATATGGCAGCTCTTTTGTATCAATCCGCTGATGCTTCATTAAACCAGTATCCTGCCTGAACTCCTTCCCATGCTGGAATGTTTTCTCTCCTGCATGTGTGCGACGGTGAGCTACCAAGTGGCGTGACAACTGGAACCCCTTCCCGCATGTTCCACACTTATATGGTCTCTTGTCAGCATGAGTTCGTTTGTGCATCACCAGTGTGGATGATTGACTGAACTCTTTCCCGCATGTTGTGCATTGAAATGGCTTCTCTCCTGTGTGTGTGCGTTGGTGCGACACAAGATGGTGAGAGTAAGTAAATCCTTTGTCACACATGTTACACTTAAATGGTTTCTCACCACTGTGAATGCGTTTGTGCCGGGACAGATTTGATGAGTCATTGAAACTCTTTCCACAGTCAGAGCATTTGAATGGCTTCTCTCCCGTGTGTGTGATCTCATGCTTGCGAAGGCTGGATGGATGATTGAATTCCTTATCACAGACACGGCATTTGAAAGGTTTCTCTCCTGTATGGACCAAGAGGTGCAATTTGAGGTGTGAGTATTTGTTAAAGCTCTTACCACATTCAGAGCAGATAAAGAGTTTCAGTCTATCTCGGGAACGCTGATGACATTCTGGCCCTTTAGAAATGTTCAATGTGGCCCCCTTTTGGCAGATCTCAGTTGACTGAAGAGCAGAATCTGATTCTTGTGTGTTCTCCATTGGTACTGTCAGAATCTCCTAAAATAAGAGATCATGATTATTGTCTTCCACAAATTACAGCAGAATCTAATTGTTACACACTACATATTATAGTGAAACACAATCAATGCATGTTAAGAGAGCTGTCCAATTATTGGGAGAAATCAGACAGGAATGGTCTCTTGTATCAATTGTTTTCTCTATTGATATTTCCCTTTTCTTTTTCCTCCCCCATTCCTCCTCAATAGATTCCTTCTATAGTGTTCTTCTTTTGGCACAGTCATACTCCATTCTGTGATAAATCAAATATCCATTCACCATGCTCGTTTAGTGAAGGCAGCATTTGGTACTCCTACCTTTATTGGTCAATGCATTGAGCAGAGGAGTTAGAATGTCATGTTATGGATGTACAGGACAGTGGTTAGGCCACTTTTGGAATACTGCATTTAATTCTGATATCCCAAAATTAATCTAGTCCTATTTGTTAGCATTTGGCCCATATCGCTCTAAAACCTTCCTATTCATGTACCTATCCAGATGCCTTTTAAATGTTGCAATTGTACCAACATCCACCACTTCCTCTCAACTTAAACCTATGTCCTCTAGTTTTAGACAACTTTACCCTGGGGAAAAGACCTTGGTTATTCACCCTATCCATGCTTGTCATGGTTTTATAAACCCCTCAGCCTCCAAGGAAAATGGCCCCATCCTTTACAGCATCTCCCTACAGCTCAAACCTTCCAACCCTGGCAACATCCTTGCACATCTTTTCTGCACCCTTTCCAGTTTAACAACATCTTTCCTATAGCAGGGAAACCAGAACTGAACACAGTATTCCAATAGTGGCCTATTCAGTGTCCTGTACAGCTGCAACATGACATCCCAAATCCTATACTCAGTGCATTGACCAACAATGGCAAGTGTACCAAATGCCTTCTTCACTACGCTGTCTATCTGAGAGTCCACCTCAAGGCCTCTTTTTTTCACAATACTCCCCAGGGCCCTACCATTAAGTGCATAAGGCCTGCCCTGATTTGCCTTTCCAAAATGCAACACCTCACATTTATCTAAATTAATGGAAGTGTAGTAAATGATGATGGTGGGAGCAAGTTTACAGCGGTAAGAATTAAACAGCTTGCAGTATTGAAAAGAAAATTTCAGTGGACTTTATAGTCATTAATAAGTTAAATAGGACTAATGTGGCAAAACTTTTCTACTTATGGGAGAATTCTAAACTTGAAGCCCTAAGAAAGTTACTGATCAATCTAAGAGGGGAAACAAAGCAGAATCTCCTTTATTCACAGCAGCTTTAACATATAATCTGCTACCATAAGAACTGGCTGAGGCAAACAGATTTGATGCATTCAAAAGATGACTTGGTGGGCAAATTTGCTCGTTCTGCAAGGGAGGCTTTAAACTAGATTGATAGGGGGGTGGGATCCTAAACAGCAGGGAAGCAAGTGCAAGGCTGCAAGGAGATACAGTAATCAGAAATAACAAGTTGAAGAGACAGATCAGGATGGAACAGGACAGGGAGTGGGAAATGTCTGTTGGGTTAAATTGTATCTATTTCAATGCAAGAGGGCTGACAGGTAAGGCTGACGAACTCAGGGCATGGATAGATACGTGGGACTGGGATATTACAGCCATTACAGAAACATGGCTAAGGGAGGGACAGGACTGGCAGCTTAGTGTGCCAGGGTACAGGTGCTTTTGGCAGGACAGAGGTGGAGGAAAGAGGGGAGGGGAGTTGCATTTTTGATTAAGGGGAATGTCACAGCAGTAGTCAGAGATGAAATAACTGAGGGATCATCCAATGAGGCTTTGTGGGTGGAGCTAAGAAATAAGAAAGGGATGGTGACACTATTGGGGTTGTATTATAGGCCCCCAAATAGTCAATGGGAATTAGAGGAACAAATGTGTAGGAAGTTTGGGGAGACTTGCAGGAGCAATAGGGTTGTCATAGAGGGGGATTTTAATTTTCCTAACATAGACTGGGATTGCCATAGTGTTAGGGGCTTAGATGGGTGGAATTTGTTAAATTTGTTCAGGAAAGTTTCCTTAAGCAGTGCATAGAGGGTCCTACTTGGGAAGGGGCAAAACTTTACCTACTCTTGGGAAATAGGGCAGGACAGGTGACTGAGGTGACAGTGGGGGAGCACTTTGGGACCTAAGACCACAGTCCTATTAATTTTAAAATAGTCACAGAAAAAGACAAATCTGGTCCACAGGTTCAAGTTCTAAATTGGGGCAAGGCGAATCTTGATTGAATTAGACAGGAGCTTGCAAGGGTTGATGGAGTAGTTTATTTGCGGGTAAAGCGACCTCTGGCAAGTGAGAGGCCTTTAAAAGTGTGATAGCTAGAATTCAAGATCTTTATGTTCCTGTGAGGGTGAAGGGCAAGGTTGGCAAGAGTAGGGAACCCTGGATGAAATGAGATAGTGAAGCTTTGACCAGAAAAAAGGAGGCATGGCTCAGGAGCAGGCAGCAAGGGATCCCCTGGCAGTAAATAGGCGAAAAGGGGGCATGAAATAGCTTTGGCTGAGAAGATTAAGGTGAATCCAAAGAGATTCTTTAAGTATGTTAAAGGAAAATGAATAACTAGAGACAGAACAGGACCTCTCAAGGACCAAGGTGGACATGTATGTGTGGAACCACAAGAGATGGACGAGGTCCTCAATGAATACTTCTCCTCTGTGTTTACCGTGGAGAAAGAGTTGGGAACTTGGGGAAGTTAGCGGCACTATCTTGGGGACAGTCCATATCACAGTATAGGTGGTGTTGGAAGTATTAGAATGTACGAAGGTGGATAAATCTCCTGGTCCTGACCAGATATATCCAAAAATCCTGCAAGATGCTAGGGAAGAAATTGCGGGGGCCCCTGGCTGATATATTTGCATCATCGTTAGCCACAGGTGAAGTCGCAGAAGACTGAAAGGTAGTGAATGTTGTGCCCTTTTCAAGAAGGGCTACAAAGAAAAACCTGGGAATTATAGATCAGTAAGCATACATCTGTGGTAGGTAGGTTACTTGAGAAGATTCTGAGGAATAAGATTTACATGCATTTGGAAAGACAGGGTTGGATTAGGAGTAGTTAGCATGGCTTTGTGTGCGGGAGATCATGCCTCACAAATTTGTTAGAGTTCTTTGATGAATTGACCAGGAAGGTTGTTGAGGGCTGAGCAGTAAACGTAGTCTATTTGGATTTCAGTAAGGCCTTTGACAAGGTTCCACATGGGAGGCTGCTCTGGAAGGTTAGATCAAATGGAATTCTAGGGAGAGCCGGCAAACTGGATACACAATTCGCTTGATGGTAGGAAGCAGAGGGTAATACTGGAAGGATGCTTGTCTGACTGGAGGCCTGTGACTAGTATTGTGCCTCAGGGGTCAGTGCTGGGCCCATTGCTGTTTGTTATCTATATCGATGATTTGGATGAGAATGTATAAGGCATGATTAGTAAGTTTGTGGATGACACTAAAATAGGCGGTATCGTGGATAGTGAGGAAGGATCGTGGATAATCAGAAATTGCAGCAGGATCTCGATCAGCTGGGGAAGTGGGCCAAGAAATGGCAAATGGAGTTTAATATAGATAAACATGAGGTGTTATATTTGGGAAAGTCAGATCCAGGTGGGAGTTTCATGGTGAATGGTAGGGCCTTAAGGAGTGTACTGGAAGAGAGAGACCTTAGAGTTCAGGTGCAGGGTTCTCTGAAAGTGGAGTCATAGGTCGACAGGGCAGTGAAGAAGACTGTTTGCACACTAGCCTTCATCAGTCAGGGTACTCAGTATAGAAGTTGGGAAGTTATGATGCAGTTGTACATGATGTTGATGAAGCCCCACTTGGAGTATTGTGTTCAGTTTTGGTCACCTTGCTATAGAAAGGATGTTATTAAACTGGAAAGAGTGCAGAAGAAATTTACAAGGATGTTGTCAGGACTCAAAGGACTGGCTTATAGGGGGAGGTTGGACAAGCTAGAACTTTTTTCTTTAGAGCGTAGGAGACTGAGGGGGAATCTTAGAGAAATAGCTAAGATCATGAGAGGCATGGATAGGGTGAATGCACTCAATCTTTTTCTCAGGGTTGGGGAATCGAGGACTAGACGGCATCAGTTTGAGGTAAGAGGGGAAAGAATACATGGGAACCTGAGGAGCAACTTTTTTTTCGCAGAGGGTGGTACGCATATGGAGTGGGCTGCCAGTGGAAGTGGTTGAGGTGGGTACATTAACAACATTTAAAAGGCATTTGGACAAATACATGGATAGGAAAGGGTTAGAAGGATATTGGCCAAGTGCGGGGAAATGGGCTTAGCGTTTTGGTTGACACAGATCAGTTTGGGCCAAAGGGCCTGTCTCCATGCTGTAGGACTTTATGACTCTACATGGCACCTTGAGCCTACTCCCCATCCAGTATGGTGTGGCTGATCTTCTGCCCCAATCCACTTTTTCTTCCAGTCCCCATATCCTTGGCTTGCTGAGAGGCAAAAAAAAATCTATCCCACACTTAAATTTACGAAGGATGGGGATGTTGCTGGCTAGGCCAGCATATGCTGCCAACCCCAAACTGTCCTGGAGATGGTGATCCACATCTTCTGAAGTACAGCATTCCAAGATTCACAACTGAATAAATAACTCATATTCTAGATTTTGTAGTCATAGGAAGCAACCTCTCGAAGTCTACCCTGTCAGAATCTTTTATGTTTCAATAAGATTGCTGCTCATTCTTCCAATCTCGAGAGAATATAGGCCCCATTTACTCAGCCTGTTATCAGAGGACAACCCTGTCATCCAAGGGACCAACTTAATGAATATTCACCGTACTCCAATCAAGGCAACCATATCTTTCCTTCAACGTGGTGCAAAAAACTGCACACAGTACATCAGGTATGGCCTCAGTACAGTTCTTTATAATTGGTGATATCCCTGTTTTAACTATCCCCTGTGATATGACTTTCTAATTGCAGTGGAACCAGCATGCTGACGTGTCACTTGTAAGAACACACAAATGTTTCTCTGAACATCAACATCTAGAAATTTCACAGTTTTAAAAATATAGAACATAGAACATTACAGCACAGTACAGGCCCTTCGGCCCTCGATGTTGCGCCGACCTGTGAAACCAATCTGAAGCCCATCTAACCTACACTATTCCATTATCATCCATATGTTTATCCAGTGACCATTTAAATGCCCTTAAAGTTGGCGAATCTACTACTGTTGCAGGCAGGGCATTCCACGCCCTTACTACTCTCTGAGTAAAGAACCTACCTCTGACATCTGTCCTATATCTATCACCCCTCAATTTAAAGCTATGTCCCCTCCTGCTAGCCATCACCATCCAAGGAGAAAAGCTCTCCCTGTCCACCCTGTAGAGAACTGTACGCAATACTCCAAGTGCGGCCGCACTAGAATTTTGTACAGCTGCAACATGACCTCATGTCTCCGAAACTCAATCCCTCTACCAATAAAACCTAACACACCATACGCCACCTTAACAACCCTATCAACCTGGGTGGCAACTTTCAGTGATCTATGCACATGGACACCGAGATCTCTCTGCTCATCCACACTACCAAGAATCTTACCATTAGCCCAGTACTCTGTATTCCTGTTACTCCTTCCAAAGTGAATCACCTCACACTTTTCCGCATTAAACTCCATTTGCCACCTCTCAGCCCAGCTCTTCAGCTTACCTATGTCCCTCTGTAACCTGCAACATCCTTCCGCACTATCCACAACTCCACCGACTTTGGTGTCATCCACAAATTTACTAACCCATCCTTCTACTCCCTCATCCAGGTCATTTATAAAAATGACAAACAGCAGTGGCCCCAAAACAGATCCTTGTGGTACACCACTAGTAACTGAACTCCAGGATGAACATTTTCCATCAACCACCACCCTCTGTCTTCTTACAGTTAGCCAATTTCTGATCCAAACCGCTAAATCACCCTCAATCTCATGCCTCCGTATTTTCTGCAATAGCCTACCGTGGGGAACCTTATCAAACACTTTACTGAAATCCATATACACCGCTTTACCCTCATCCACCTCTTTGGTCACCTTCTCAAAGAACTCAATAAGGTTTGTGAGGCACGACCTACCCTTCACAAAACCGTGTTGACTATCCCTAATCAAATTATTCCTTTCTAGATGATTATAAATCCTGTCTCTTATAATCCTTTCCAACACTTTATCCACAACCGAAGTAAGGCTCACTGGTCTATAATCACCAGGGTCGTCTCTACTCCCCTTCTTGAACAAGGGGACAACATTTGCTATCCTCCAGTCTTCTGGCGCTACTCCTGTAGATAATGACGACATAAAGATCAAAGCCAAAGGCTCTGCAATCTCCTCCCTAGCTTCCCAGAGAATCCTAGGATAAATCCCATCCAGCCCAGGGGACTTATCTATTTTCACACTTTCCAGAATTGCTAACACCTCCTCCTTATGAACCTCAATCCCGTCTAGTCTAATAGCCTGTATCTCAGTATTCTCCTCGACAACATTGTCTTTTTCCTGTGTGAATACTGACGAAAAATATTCATTTAGCGCCTCTCCTATCTCTTCGGACTCCACGCACAACTTCCCACTACTGTTCTTGACTGGCCCTAATCTTACTCTAGTCATTCTTTTATTCCTGACATACCTATAGAAAGCTTTAGGGTTTTCCTTGATCCTACCTGCTAAAGACTTCTCATGTCCCCTCCTGGCTCTTCTTAGCTCTCTCTTTAGGTCCTTCCTGGCTAACTTGTAACTCTGAAGCGCCCTAACTGAGCCTTCACGCCTCATCTCTACATAAGCCTCCTTCTTCCTCTTGACAAGAGATTCAACTTCTTTAGTAAACCACAGTTCCCTCGCTCGACCACTTCTTCCCTGCCTGACAGGTACATACTTATCAAGGACACGCAGTAGCTTTTCCTTGAACAAGCTCCACATTTCAATTAGGCCCAGCCCCTGCAGTTTCCTTCTCCATCCTATGCATCCTAAATCTTGCCTAATCGCCTCATAATTGCCTTTCCCCCAGTTATAACTCTTGCCCTGCGGTATATACCTATCCCTTTCCATCGCTAAAGTAAACGTAACCGAATTGTGGTCACTATCACCAAAGTGCTCACCTACCTCTAAATCTAACACCTGGCCTGGTTCATTACCCAGTACCAAATCCAATGTGGCCTCGCCTCTTGTTGGCCTATCTACATGCTGTGTCAGGAAACCCTCCTGCACACATTGGACAAAAACTGACCCATCTAAAGTACTCAAACTAAAGCGTTTCCAGTCAATATTTGGAAAGTTAAAGTCCCCCATAACAACTACCCTGTTACTTTCGCTCCTATCCAGAATCATCTTTGTAATCTTTTCCTCTACATCTCTGGAACTTTTCGGAGGCCTATAGAAAACTCCCAACAGGGTGACCTCTCCTTTCCTGTTTTTAACCTCAGCCCATACTACCTCAGTGGACGAGTCCTCATCAAACGTCCTTTCTGCCACCGTAATACTGTCCTTGACTAACAAAGCCACACCTCCCCCTCTTTTACCACCTTCCCTGATCTTACTGAAACATCTAAACCCCAGAACCTGCAACAACCATTCCTATCCCTGCTCTATCCATGTCTCCGAAATGTCCACAACATCGAAGTCCCAGGTACCAACCCTTTTTTCAGCTGTTTCAGCGGCGGGAGTCCGGGAGGAAGCGCGAGGGCACCCTGGGAAGGTAAGCTTTTTGATTATAAAAGTCTTACCTCGCGTGACTCCATTTTTGCAGCAGCAGTGAGAGGCAGGACCAGGGGGCTGCCGGGAAGGTAAGTTAATCCTTTAAAAACTTACCTCGTGAATAGGCAGAGCGCACACTGAGCAGGAGCGGACACGGGATGGCTGAGTAAGTGAGGTAATATATTTGGGCGATTGCTTTACCCGAAACACTACCTAGGTAGGGTCTCCCACCCATCCTCCTCCTTTAACCAAAAAAAAAAAGGTTCTGAGCGCCGATTTGGTAAGGTTACTAGTTTTTCTTTTTTTTTCAATAGTCTGTTTGGGAATTCAGAACAGTGGGAATGGACGTTAGGGCAGTTGCATGCTCCTGCTGTAGAATGTGGGAGATAAGGGTCACTACTAGTGTCCCCACTGACTTCATCTGCGGGAAGTGCACCCAACTCCAGCTCCTCGGAAACCACGTTAGGGAACTGGAGCTGGAGCTGGATGAACTTCGGATCATTCGGGAGGCTGAGAGGGTAATTGAGAGGAGTTACAGGGAGGTAGTTACACCTCAGGTACAGGAAAAAGGTAGATGGGTTACAGTCAGGGGACGGAAAGGGAACAGGCTGACAGTGCAGGGATCCCCTGTGGCCGTTCCCCTCAATAACAAGTATACCGTTTTGGATACTGTTGGGGGGGGGGGAAGAGACTTACCAGGGGTAAGCCATGGGGTACAGGTCTCTGGCACAGAGTCTGTCCCTGTTGCTCAGAAGGGAAGGGGGGAGAGGAGGAGAGCATTAGTCATTGGGGACTCCATAGTTAGGGGGACAGATAGGAGATTCTGTGGGAACGAGAGAGACTCACGGTTGGTGTGTTGCCTCCCAGGTGCCAGGGTCCGTGATGTATCGGATTATGTTTTCGGGATCCTTAAGGAGGAGGGGGAGCAGCCCCAAGTCATGGTCCACATAGGCACCAATGACATAGGTAGGAAAAGGGATGGGGATGTAAGGCAGAAATTCAAAGAGCTAGGGTGGAAGCTTAGAGCTCGAACAAACAGAGTTGTTATCTCTGGTTTGTTACCCGTGCCACATGCTAGCGAGGCGAGGAATAGGGAGAGAGAGCAGTTGAACACATGGCTACAGGGATGGTGCAGGAGGGAGGGATTCAGATACCTGGATAATTGGGGCTCATTCTGGGGTAGGTGGGACCTCTACAAACGGGATGGTCTACACCTGAACCAGAGGGGTACCAATATCCTGGGGGGAAAATTTGCTAATGCTCTTCGGGAGGGTTTAAACTAATTCAGCAGGGGGATGGGAACCTGAATTGTAGCTCCAGTGTACAGGAGGTTGAGAGTAGTGAGGTCATGTATAAGGTTTCAAGGTCGCAGGAGTGTACTGGCAGGCAGGAAGGTGGTTTGAAGTGTGTCTACTTCAACACCAGGAGCATCCGGAATAAGGTGGGTGAACTTGCAACTTGTTTTTCCATTCTTAACTACCAAAGTGAATAATTTCACACTTTCCCATATTAACAAAATCTCCAGCTATGTTAATATATTACTCTTTGAACCCATCATCTTAAATACTGGTCTCTTATGTGGCACTTCATTAAATGCCTTTTGGAAATTCAAGTATACTATTTCTTTCCCTTTATTTACCATTCTTGTTACAACTTCATAAAACTCCAAAAATTTGAAAAGACAAATTTCCTATTGCATAACCACACTGACTATCTAATTATACTTTCACTTTAAAGCTTGTATAAGAATAGATACCAGGAGTTTTCCAGTTACTGATGAAAGGCCTACAGTTTTCGGTTTTCTCTTTCCCTCCTTTCTTGAATAGCGAATGTTAAAGGTGTTAACTTCCAAACTGCTGAGACTATTCCAGAATGGAGGGAATTCTGAAAAAAAGGTCAGCAGAAACAAATAATGTTGACAATTTGTTTTCATAACGTTTAAGTTCAGAAGTTGGCAAGTTAAAAGCTAAATCAAGTAGAGATCCCCTTCAAAAGACATTTTAGAATTACTGAACAACTACAATCTGAGGAATTTTGGAAAACCGTAAACAATGCATCAGCTACTTGGCTGTGGCTGCCGATTTTACAGCCTTAGGTTGGAGGTCATCTGGTTATGGGACATTGTCAGCTTTTAATCCCTTAAGTTTTTCCAATAATGTTTCTCTACTGATACCCAAAAGGCCTGCCCAATGTCTCCATTTTTTCCTAATTATGTTCAACAAATTTCTTTTTGTTCACTCTCTTCAAAACTATCTCAATTCCTACTCTTTCTGTCCAGCTAATACTTTCCATTCTCTTCCAAACACACATTTCAAAGCTATTTAGCAAGTTAGTCTTCTCTTTTTGTAGGTCCAAATCATACATCCAAAACAGTAGTCAAAATCCATAACTTCATACATTGAGTTTTGAATAGTGTATTAAGCTTTCTGGGTAGTAATTTTTCAAACTAAATACAGGCCTTTCCATTGCTATTGTTGCTCTTGTTTCTTTGCTGCACCATGCATCAACAGACTTAATGCTTCCCAAGTATTGGTAGTCAACTGTCAGTCATCACCTAATTGGTACATTCCCCATGGCAACTCATCCACCAATCACAGCTCCTGCCAATTAATCAATACTCTTCTTGTACAGTATAAAATGTTTCTAACCTTTACATTCTTGAAAATATCGTGTACGACAAGTAGCTTCAACAAAATGTCTTTTTTTTCAGCAACGTTCAAGTTCTGCACTACCAAATAACTATTAGTTAATTTATTTTGCTTCATGTAATACCTCATGTATTTAAATACTTTAAACACTTTTGTTTAATTGGATCCTATTTTCTAGTTCACTGTCACTGTTAAATTCTCTGTTCCTTTTTGATCCACCACACCTATTTTTATCCAAATCACCTCATTGTTTTTCAACTTTCCACTTGAGAGTTCCAAATTTCTCTTCACATGACATCTCATCCCTGCTTTTGGTTTAAAGCTCTATCCACAGCTGAACAATTCACTGAGACACTGGTCTCAGCCCGGTGTAAGCACTGGTACTAATAATTCAAAACTGTTTTTTTTCTCAACCACTCTTTGAATCGTGCTCAATTCTCTAATCTGCTTGATCCTGTGTTAATTGGCATATAGCTTAGTTAACAATCCAGAGATCATCACATATGAAGTTTTCTCTTTTCATTTGGGAGCCAATTCCTTAAACTCTCTCAGCAAAACATCATTCCTCTTTCTACCAATGTAGCTGCTTCTTACATAGGCCATGACAATTAGATTCCCCCCTTCCCACTCCAAGATTGTCTGCAGCCATAAGACGCTTTTAAACATAAGGCAATAACCAGGCATTACATTCATTGGAACACCCAGTTCCAACTGCAGAGAATATTATCCATATTGCTGACCATTGATTTCACCATCACTTCTGCATTCCTCCAATTTAATGGTTTGCTGCACCACGGTGCTTTGATCAGTTTGCCCAGCTATACTCCAGCACTTGGTTTCATCCACACAGGTAGCAATTCTTCAAATATATTATTAAAGTCTAATATTCCTGCACGTTTTCAACCAGGATCCCGATACTCACCTGACTCAGATGCACACCGTTCTATCCTAGATTGTTGACCCTAGGCTAAACTTCTTAACCTAAAAGGTTTGACTGTTTCCTAGAACAATGTGCCCAGGTTACTCTCCCCTTTGTGAAGTTCCATGACATCTGCAGTTCCAGCTCAAGAATTCTGAGTCGCCACAAACTCCCACATGCTTCAGTTAGGCCATTCCACCTCTCCTCCCATGGCATCTATCCTTACTTATTAACGGGATTATTGATAAAGTTACTGGACCAAATTCCTGGAATGTCTAAACAAATTCACGGAGGCAACATCACTACTAGGAATCCTGCAGCTCTAGAAAGCTCACAATCAAGTTCTCGAGGCAATGAACCACAGTCTTAGCGACATCATCTTTGGCCTAGGAGTTAATTAGTAAAAATATTACTGACAATCTCAAAGTGATAGAAATTTTACAGCACAGAAAGGCGCCCTTTTGTCCACTGTGTCTGCACAGTCTCCAAACAGCCATCTATTTCTAATTCCATTTTTCCAGCACTTGGCTCCTAGCCTTGTATGCTTCGGCATTTCAAATGCTCATTTAAATAGTTAAATCTTTTGAGGGTTTTTGCCTTTATCCTCCTTTCAGGCAGTGAGTTCCAGACACCCAGCACTCTATGGGCAATTTCTAACTCTCTAACCCACCTTCTCTGTACCTTAAAACTGTGCCCCCGGTCCTGACTCCTCTACTCCCTATTATGTCTGTCCCTCGAAACCTTGTACCCCCTTAAAATGGATCCTCCCTCAGCCTTCTCTATTCTACAGAAATTAACCCCAATCAATCTAGTCTCTCTTCATAGCTAAATAGCTCCAGCCCAGGCAACATCCTGGTGAATCCCTTCTGCACCCTCTCTAGTGTAATTATATCCATCCTGTGACAACCAGACTGCTCACAGTACTCCAGCTATGGCCTAACTAACATTATATACAGCTCCATCATAATCTGCTTCCTCTTGTATTTAATGCCTTGATTAAGAAAGGCAGGTATCCCATATGCCTTCTTCACCACTTTATCCACCTGTCCTACTGCCTTCAAAGACACGCACACCAAGGTCCCTCTGTACTTCCTAGGACCCAATAGACAGCATGTACTCCCTCGGCTTTTTAGTCTTCCCAAAATGCATCATCTCACACTTTGGAGGATTAAATTTCATTAGCCACTGTTCAGCTTATCTGACCAGTCCATCCATATCTTCCTGTATCCTAAAGCTTTCCTTCTCTATTTACTGACCATACCTCCTACACTCATGTCTGGATCATTGATCTACACAACAAACAGAAAAAGACCCACCACTGAACTCAGTGGTACGGCACTGGACACAAGTTTCCACTCACAAAAGTACCCTTCAACCATCATAGAGATTTATTGAGAGACCCAACAGTCTGGTAGCATCCAAGGAGAGAAGAGAGTTAATATTGAGTGTAGTGATCCTTCGACACTAGCCTGTGGACTTAAAATGTTAACTCTACTTTCTCTCCACAGATGCTGCCAGATCCCAAGTTTCTCCAGCAATTTCTGTTTTTGTTTGCCTCAGGAATCTAACATTTGCAGTTCTTTGTTTTACTTCAACAATCACTTTCTGCTTCCTACTACTAAGTCGGTTTTGGGTTTGAATTATACAAACTGTCCTGGATTGCATGGGCTCTTTGCTTCTTAACCAGCCTGTTATAAGAGACCTTATCAAAAGCTTAACTGATGTCCATGTAGACCACATTAACTGCCCTACCCTCATCTGCATGCCAAATCACCACCTCAAAATATTTACTTAGATTTGTTAGACATGATTTGATTTGTTCATCACATTACGTGAGATAACAAGGTGCAGAGCTGGATGAACACAGCAGTCCAAGCAGCATCAGAGGAGCAGGAAGGCTGACGTTTCGGGCCTAGACCCTTCTTCAGAAATGGGGGTGGGGAAGGGGGTTCTGAAATAAATAGGGAGAGATGGGGAGGCGGATAGAAGATGGATAGAGGAAAAGATAGGTGGAGAGGAAACAGACAGGTCAAAGAGGCGGGGATGGAGCCAGTAGAGGTGAGTGTAGGTGGGGAGTTAGGGAGGGGATAGTTCAGTCCAGGGAGGACGGACAGGTCAAGGGGGCGGTATGAGGTTAGTAGGTAGGAGATGGGGGTGGGAGGAGGGGATAGGTGGGAGGAAGGGACGAGCTGGGCTGGTTTTGGGATGCGGTAGGGGGAGGGGAGATTTTGAAGCTTGTGAAGTCCACATTGATACCATTGGGCTGCAGGGTTCCCAAGCGGAGTATGAGTTGCTGTTCCTGCAACCTTTGGGGAGCATCGTTGTGGCACTGCAGGAGGCCCAGGATGGACACGTCGTCTGAGGAATGGGAGGGGGAGTTGAAATGGTTCGCGACTGGGAGGTGCAGTTGTTTATTGCGAACCAAGCGTAGGTGTTCTGCAAAGCGGTCCCCAAGCCTCCGCTTGGTTTCCCCAATGTAGAGGAAGCCACAACGGGAACAGCGGATGCAGTATACCACATTAGCAGATGTGCAGGTGAACATCTGCTTGATGTGGAAAGTCTTCTTGGGGCCTGGGATGGGGGTAAGGGGGGAGGTGTAGGGGCAGGTGTAGCATTTCCTGCGGTTGCAGGGAAAAGTGCCGGGTGTGGTGGGGCTGGAGGGGAGTGTGGAGCAGACAAGGGAGTCCCGGAGAGAGTGGTCCCTCCGGAAAGCAGATAAGGGTGGGGAGGGAAAAGTGTCTTTGGTGGTGGGGTCGGATTGCAGATGGCGGAAGTGTCGGAGGATGATGCGTTGGATCCGGAGGTTGGTGGGGTGGTATGTGAGGACGAGGAGGATTCTGTTTTGGTTGTTATTGCGGGGAGGGGGTGTGAGGGATGAGTTGCAGGAAATGCGGGAGACATGGTCGAGGGCATTCTCAACCACTGGGCGGGGCAAGTTGTCCTCATTTTTCAAGGACTGCATCTGAGATGTACGGGAGTGGAATGCCTCATCCTGGGAGCAGAGGCGAAGGAATTGGGAATAGGGGATGGCATTTTTGCAGGAAGGTGGGTGGCAGGAGGTGTATTCTAGGTAGCTGTGGGAGTCGGTGGGCTTGAAATGGATATCAGTTTCTAGGTGGTTGCCAGAGATGGAGACAGAGGGGTCCAGGAAGGAGAGAGAGGTATTGGAGATGGTCCAGGTGAACTTAAGTTTGGGGTGGAAGGTGTTGGTGAAGTGGATGAACTGTTCGAGCTCCTCGTGGGAGCACGAGGCAGCGCTGACACAGTTATCAATGTAACGGAGGAAGAGGTGGGGTTTAGGGCCAGCGTAGGTACGGAAGAGGGATTGTTCCACGTAACCTACGAAGAGGCAGGCATAGCTTGGGCCCATGCAGGTACCCATGGCTACCCCCTTTGTCTGTAGGAAGTGGGAGGAATTGACAGAGAAGTTGTTGAAGGTGAGGACGAGTTCAGCTAAGCGGATGAGGGTGTCAGTGGAGGGGGACTGGTCGGGCCTGCGGGACAGGAAGAAGCGGAGGGCCTTTAGGCCATCTGTATGGGGAATGTAGGTGTATAGGGACTGGACGTCCATGGTAAAGATGAGGTGTTGGGGACCAGGGAATTAGAAGTTCTGGAGGAGGTGGAGGGCATGGGTGGTGTCACGGACATAGGTAGGGAGTTCCTGGACCAAGGGGGAGAAAATGGAGTCAAGATAGGTGGAGATAAGTTCGGTGGGGCAGGAGCAGGCGGAGACAATGGGTCAACCAGGGTAGTCAGGTTTGTGGATTTTGGGAAGGAGATAGAAGCCGGCGGTGCGGGGTTGGGGAACGATGAGGTTGGAGGCTGTGGGTGGAAGGTCACCTGAGGTGATGAGGTTGTAGATGGTTTGGGAGATGATGGTTTGGTGGTCGGGGGTGGGGTCATGATCAAGGGGGCGGTAGGAGGTGGTGTCGAAGAGTTGGTGCTTGGCCTCAGCGATGCAGAGGTCAGTGCGCCATACTACAACTGCGCCTCCCTTGTCCACGGGTTTTATGGTGAGGTTGGGATTGGAGCAGAGGGCTGCACGTTCTGCGGGGGAGAGGTTGGAGTGGGTGAGAGGGGTGGAGAGGTTGAGGCGATTGATATCTCGTAGGCAGTTGGAGATGAAGAGGTCAAGGGAGGATAGGAGGCCTTGGGGTGGTGTCCAGGAGGAGGGGGTGTGTTGGAGATGGGAGAAGGGGTCAGTAGAAGGAGGGTTAGGCTCACGGTTGAAGAAGTAAGTGCGGAGGCGGCGGAAAAACTGCTCTATGTCCAAATGTGACCGGTATTCGTTGATGTGTGGGTGGAGGGGGACAAAGGTGAGCCCTTTACTGAGGACTGACCGTTCGTCCTCTGTAAGGGGGAGGTCTGGGAGGATGGTGAAGACTTGGCAGGGCTGGGTGCTACTGTCTCTTCTGGAGCTGCTGGCTGTGGAGGCGGTGGGCGGAGTGACGTCGGCGTCGGCTGTGGGCAGAGTTGCGTCGGCTGTGGGCAGAGCAGCACCATTCCCGCAGACCTCCCCCTTACGGAGGACGAACGGTCAGTCCTCAGTAAAGGGCTCACCTTTGTCCCCCTCCACCCACAAATCAACGAATACCGGTCACGTTTGGACATACAGCAGTTTTTCCGCCGCCTCCGCCTCCATGCTTACTTCCTCAACCGTGAGCCTAACCACCCCAATTCCTCCCACTTCCTACAGACAAAGGGGGTGGCCAAGGGTAACCGCATGGGCCCAAGCTATGCCTGCCTCTTCGTAGGTTACATGGAACAATCCCTCTTCCGTACCTATACTGGCCCTAAACCCCACCTCTTCCTCCGGTACATTGATGACTGTATCGGCGCTGCCTCGTGCTCCCACGAGGAGCTCGAACAGTTCATACACTTCACCAACACCTTCCACCCCAACCTTAAGTTCACCTGGACCATCTTCAATACCTCCCTGTCTCCATCTCTGGCAACCACCTAGAAACCGATATCCATTTCAAGCTCACCGACTCCCACAGCTACCTAGAATACACCTCCTCCCACCCACCTTCCTGCAAAAATGCCATCCCCTATTCCCAATTCCTTCGTCTCCGCCGCATTTGCTCCCAGGATGAAGCATTCCACTCCCGTACATCTCAGATGTCCTCATTTTTCAAGGACTGCAACTTCCCCCCCTCAGTGGTTGAGAATGCCCTCGACCGTGTCTCCCGCATTTCCAGCAACTCATCCCTCACACCCCCTCCCTGCAATAACAACCAAAACAGAATCCCCCTCGTCCTCACGTACCACCCCACCAACCTCCGGATCCAACGCATCATCCTCCGACACTTCCGCCATCTGCAATCCGACCCCACCACCAAAGACACTTTTCCCTCCCCACCCTTATCTGCTTTCCGGAGGGACCACTCTCTCCGGGACTCCCTTGTCTGCTCCACACTCCCCTCCAGCCCCACCACACCCGGCACTTTTCCCTGCAACCGCAGGAAATGCTACACCTGCCCCTACACCTCCCCCCTTACCCCCATCCCAGGCCCCAAGAAGACTTTCCACATCAAGCAGATGTTCACCTGCACATCTGCCAATGTGGTATACTGCATCCGCTGTACCCGTTGTGGCCTCCTCTACATCGGGGAAACCAAGCGGAGGCTTGGGGACCGCTTTGCAGAACACCTACGCTCGGTTCGCAATAAACAACTGCACCTCCCAGTCGCGAACCATTTCAACTCCCCCTCCCATTCCTCAGACGACATGTCCATCCTGGGCCTCCTGCAGTGCCACAATGATGCCACCCGAAGGTTGCAGGAACAGCAACTCATATTCTGCTTGGGAGCCCTGCAGCCCAATGGTATCAATGTGGACTTCACAAGCTTCAAAATCTCCCCTACCCCTACCGCATCCCAAAACCAGCCCAGCTCGTCCCCGCCTCCCTAACCTGTCCTTCCTCCCACCTATCCCCTCCTCCCATCCCCTACCTACTAACCTCATACCACCCCCTTGACCTATCCCCTCCCTACCTCCCCACGTACACTCACCTCTACTGGCTCCATCCCCGCCTCTTTGACCTGTCTGTCTCCTCTCCACCTATCTTTTCCTCTATCCATTTTCTATCTGCCTCCCCGTCTCTCCCTATTTATGTCAAAACCCCCTTCCCTTCCCCCATTTCTGAAGAAGGGTCTAGGCCCAAAACGTCAGCCTTCCTGCTCCGCTGATGCTGTGTTCATCCAGCTCTGCACCTTGTTATCTCAGATTTTCCAGCATCTGCAGTTCCTGCTATCGCTACTCATTACATGTATTTTGTTACAAAAACAGTGAAAAGTGTTGTATAATGTCATCACTCACACGATCACCCCTCTTTCAAGGCTATGCTGACCATCCTTGATTAATCCTTGCCTCTCCAAGTAGAAATTAATTTTCCCTCAATTTTTTTCTAAATTTCCCTACTACTCATGTTAGCTTCACTGACCTGTGTTTTCCTAATTTATTCCTACCACCCTTCTTGAATAATGGTACATTAGCATGTCCTCCAGTCCTCTGGCACTCTTCTGCTGGCCAGAGACGATTAAAAATGATTGACAGAGCCTCTGCAATCTCTTCCTTTGACTCCCTCAACAGCCTTGGTGCCCCTCATCCATGCCTGGGAATTTATCACTTTCAAGCCTGCTAAGATCACGAATATCTTCTCCCTCTCAATGCGAATTTATTCAAGTATATCTCAGTCCTCCTTCCCTGATTTGTGGACCTACAATGTCCTTTTGTATTGTGAATTATGTGTATTGTGATAAAAGCCCAACTAATCTGTGCAAAAATTGGGAGCTGAGTAAAAACTGGCCGTTCTTTAAGTAAAAATTGGGAGCAGTGGTGTTAGTACAGACATATTTAACTAAATTATCCAGAGAACTCGGGCATTGCCCCGAGATCGATCAAGTTGCAGCTGTGCAGTCAGTCGGAGCCTGAACTGAAGGCCTCAAATGGTGAAGGTGATGAGGCCGCAATCTCCCGTGTATTGCGAGGACTGCCTGGGACTTCGGTTTGAGCCATGTGTTCGCGTCTGGCAAAGTTACACCTACTGGGACAAACTGGTGGCAGCGGATCCCGTCCGCGCCGGCCCGGGGCCGATACGATTTAATTTCCCGGCTAAAGTGACCAGAAAGCGGTTAAAATGGCGGAACCAGCAAACTGCCAGATGGTGGAAGAGGAAACCCTGCTTTCCCACTGGCTATTAAAACAAGCAGGTCACAGAGCTCTCGAAGTTAAATTATTTCCTCACCAGTTTGCACCGAGTCTTCACTCACCCGAGAAAGGGCTGCAGCTTCATGGATTTAACATCGACCGCCGACCCCTATCCCCTCGCTTTCCCGTATCGCGCAGGCGCCGGGAGAACTCAGAAAATTGGCTGGCTGCGCGCGCACACAATGTGCTGCTCGCCGGAGATAGACAACTTTCAGGAGCGTGAGGCACCCTGGACAATATGAGCCGCCATTTCTTCAATCTTTTGCGGAAAACGTAACTCCCCCCCTTCATATTCTTAAACATGACGTTCATTCGCTTCTTTCCCTCTAAGTTAAATGCAAATACTTTATTATTCAGAGAGTAATCCCAAGCATTACCTTGCTCCATGTGTGAATGAGGAACAGGACTGTAGGGAGGGTGTGCCAGCTGAGCACGGCACCGCGGCACAGGAGGCCATTCAAGAGGGGAGAGCAAAATGACAAGTGATAGTTGTAGGGGATTCTATAAGTAGATTAATAAATGATATCCTTTGTAAGCAGAATGGAGAGTCCCACATAGTATGTTGCCTGCCTGGTGGCAGGGTGTAGGACATATTTGATCAGCTTGAAAGGATGTTGGAGAGGGAGGGTGAAGATCCAGTTGTTGTAGTCCACGTTGGGATAAACAACATAGGTAAGACTAGGAAAGAAGACCTGTTTAGGGATTATCAGGAACTAGGAATTAAATTAAAGAACTGGGCCTCAAGGGTTATAATCTCCGGATTACCATCTGAGCCACATGTAAACTGGCATAGGGATACGAGAATAAGGGAAGTAAACACATGGCTAAAGGAGTGGTGCAGGAAAGGGAGGGGTTCTCTTTCATGGGGCACTGGTATCAGTATTGGAACAGGAGGGATCTGCACTGTTGGTACGGTCTCTACCTGAACCGAGCTAGGACCAGTGTTCTAGCAAAAAAATGGTAAACAGGGTGGTTAACAGGACGTTAAACTAGAAAGTGGGGGGGAGGTAAAACACCAGGAAGTATAATGGCCAATGGGAATCAAAGCAACAGGTTAACATCTGTGGGGATGGATTTAACTGCATGGAAAAATATGAAAAAAAAAGAAAGGAGAACTCAAGAGAGGTTATTAAAGTCTCCAGCATACAAAATAGGATAGAGTGTTTGGACAGGGTTAGGAATCAAACTTCAAGCAAACTGGATAAATGAATGACAATGAGAAGAGGGACAGTCAATGCAGGACTGAAGGTGTTGTATCTGAATGCAGTATAAAAAAATAAGGTAAATGAGCTTCTGGCGCAGATCGAAATTGGCAGGTATGATATGGTGGGCATCACAGACAGGTGGCTGCAAGGGGCTCAGGATTGGAAGCTAAATATCTAAGAATATACATCCTATTGAAAAGACAGGCAGGTGGGCAGAGGGGGTTAGGTTGCCTTATAAGCAAGAAATGAAATTAAATCAATAGCAAGAAATGATGTAGGGTCATATGATGTAGAATCTGTGTGGGTAGAGTTGAGGAACTGCAAAGGTTTAAAAAAAAAACATAAATGGGAGTAGTGTACAGGCCTCCATACAGTAGTCAGGATTTGGGGCACAAGATACACCAAGAGATAGAAAAGATGTGTAAGAAAGACACGGTTGCCGTGATCATGGGGGATTTCAATATGCAGGTGGACTGGGAAAAACAGGTTGGTAGTGGATTGCAAGAAAAGGAATTCGTGAAATGTCTATGAGATGACTGTTTGGAGCAGCTTGTGGTAGAGCCCACTAGGGAACAGGCAATACTGGATTTAGTGTTGTGCAATGAGGCAGACTTGATAAGGTAGCTTAAGGTGAAGGAACCCTTAGGAAGCATTGACTATAATATGATTGAATTTACTCTGCAATTTGAGATGAAGAAGGTGGAATCAGATGTAACAGTATTACAGTTGAATAAAGGCAACTACAGAGGCATGAGGGAGGAGCTGACCAGTATTGACTGGGATAGGAGCCTAGCAGGAAAGATAGTTGAACAGCAATGGCAGGAGATTCTGGGAGTAATTTGGGGGACACAGCAAAAATTCATCCCTAGGAAAAAGAAGCATACTAAAGGGAGGATGAGGCAACCATGGCTGACAAGGGAAGTCAGGGACAGCATAAAAGCAAAACAGAAAGTATATAATGTGGCAAAAGGCAGTGGGAAGACAGGGAATTGGGACACCTGCAAGGCAAACAGAGGACAATGAAAAAGAAAAAAGGAGGGACAAGATTAAATATGATGGTAAGCTAGCCAGTAATATAAACAAAATTGCAAGAGTTTCTTTAGATTAACAAAGGGCAAAAGAGATCCAAAAGTGGACTTTGGGATGCTGGAAAATGATACTGGAGAAGTAGTAATGGGGAACAAAGAAATGGCTGAGGAATTGAATAAGTAGTTTGCATCAGTCTTCACAGTGGAAGACACGAGTAATATCCCAAAAGAGTCGGGGTGGGCACCAGAGGTGCGTATGGTGGACATCACCAAAAACTAAAAGATCTGAAGGTGGATAAATCACCTGGACTAGATGGGCTACACCCCAGCATTCTGAAGGAGATAGCTGAAGAGATAGTGGAGGCATTACTGATGCTCTTTCCAGAATAACTAGAGTCAGGGAGGGTCCCAGAGGACTGGAAAATCATGAATGTCCCCCCCCCACCCCATTTAAGAAGGGAGTAAGGCAAAAGATGGGAAATTACAGGCTGATTAGCCTAACCTTGGTCATTGGTGAAGGAACCCCTCGCCACTATCCAGCCACAAACCCCTATGACACTACACACAAACACATAGTCAGGCTATCTTAGGGGAAGGATGGAAGATGAAGATGCCACCCCAGTAATTAAAATTTAAAGACTGCTCCATTCTGACTCAGAATCCAGGACTTGACGGTTAGTAACCACAAGATAGGGAATTGTGGAATACTTGTATGTTGAGACTGTCTAATTTAGGCTGAGCAGAAATGAGTTAAAATAATACATGACTAGGAGCATGAAGTAGGGAAACTTTAGCTTTATGAAACAGTACATATTGCTGTAATTGCAAACTGCTTTTCCCTAGACTGAGAAATCACGTAGGACAGATAGCAAAAAGCTAGGGCTCGCAGCATCTGTACACTCTTATCTCCACCACATTCTGCTTCAATTAATGTGTGTCTGGTTGCCTAAGTAATGACCTTGCCTTGCTAAATCACAGTACAATTGCAGTTTGTTTTAACTTGTTTAATCAGAGCCTTCCTGACCGTCCTGTGAGACTGTGTCTTGGAGCTCTCCCTGCTGTAATCAATTGCAAGCTTGAATAAAGAAGTGCTACTGCTGAAGCAAGACTCTCGTCCTCGTGGTGTGTCTTTTAGAGTTCAAAAAGACCACCTACAGTTGGTAAGATTTTGGAGTCCATTGTGAAGGATGACATTTCTGAATACTTGGAAGTGCATGGTAAAATAGGGCAAAGTGAACATGGTTTTATCAAGGGGAGATCATGCCTGACAAATCTGTTAGAATTCTTTGAGGAGGTAACAAGCAGGTTAGACCAAGGAGAACCAATGGATGTTATCTATCTGGACTTCAAGAAGGCCTTTGATAAGGTGATGCACAGGAGGCTGCTGAGTACGATAAGGGCCCATTGTGTTAGAGACAACATACTAGCATGGATAGAAGGTTGGCTGTCTGGCAGAAAGCAGACAGTGGGGATAAAAGGGTCCTTCTCAGGATGGAAGCCGGTGACTAGTGTTGTTCCACAAGGGTCAGTGTTGGGACCAAAACTTATCATTTTATATCTTAACAATCTAGCTGAAGGAACTGACGGCACTGACGGCATTCTGGCTAATGCAGATGATACAAAGATAGGTGGAGGGACAGGTAGTATTGAGGAGGTGGGGACATTGCTGAAAGATTTAGACAGGTTAGGAGAGTGGGCAAAGAAGTGGCAGATGGAATATAATGTGGGAAAGAATGAGGTCATGTGCTTTGGGGGGAAGAATTGAGGCATGGACTATTTTCTAAATGGGAAGAAAATTCAGAAATCTGAAGTGCAAAGGGACTTGAGAGTCCTAGTCCAGGTTTCTCTTAAGGTAAACCTGCAGGTTCAGTCAGCAGTTAGGAAGGCAAATACAATGTTGGCATTTATCTCAAGAGGACTAGCATATAAAAGCAGGGATGTATTTCTAAGGCTTTATAAAGCTCTGGTCAGACCACATTTAGGGTATTGCAAGCAATTTTGGGCACTATACCTCAGGAAGGACATACTGGCCCTGGAGCGGGAGAGGAGGTTCACAAGAATGATCCCAGGAATGAAAGGCTTAACATACAAGGATAGTTTGAGGACCGTGGGTCTATACTTGATGGAGTTTAGAAGGATGAGGGGGGGAATCTAATTGAAACTTACAGAACACTGAATGGCCTGGACAGCGTGGTAGATTGGGAAGATGTTTCCATTGGCAGGACACGAGGGCACAGCCTTAGAGTAAAGGGAAGACCCTTTAGAATGTAGATAAGTAGAAACTTCTTCAGCCAGAGAGTGGTGAATTTGTGGAATTCATTACCACAGAGGGCTGTGGAGGCGAGGTCATTGAGTATATTTAAGACAGAGATAGATAGGTTCTTGATTGTCAAGGGGATCAAAGATTACAGGGAGAAAGCGGGAGAATGGGGTTGAAAAACCTATCAGTCGTGATTGAATGGCAGAGCAGACAATGGGCTGAATGGCCTAATTTCTGTTCCTATGTTTTATGGTCTTATGGTCTTTGAGTTTTAAAACTGTCACAAAATATTTCAGCTGCTGAAAATCTTAAAAATAAATACAACTTAATTATACAAGATGCTGGAAATGCTCAAAAGGCTATGCAGCATGTGTGGAAAGATAAACATGGCCTCTGCTTTTCTCTCTCCACAGATGTTGCATCTGTACAGTGTATTTCCAATATTTTCTGTAATTCAGTTCAAAGGTTTATCTACATCAAAATTATAATTATTGTAAATGGTCAAAAGAACTGAATTCCATAGATAAGGAGACAGCGAGTGGCACAACATCATGTCAGGTCGATGGCATAAAGAAACACTCGTGAAATTGAAGACATGAAAAACCCCAAAACAGCATATTTCCTATTAATGGCATCATAAATACTTTACT